TAATCACAGATCATATCCCTTTGTCCTTCCAGGAGAACTTGCGTAAGACCAGTTCGTCTAATGAGCAATTCTCTGAAAACTCAACCCCCTTCCAAGAGCTCTTGCATCTATCTATTTGGGTATTAACTTTGCCATCTTGCGGCACATAAAAAAATTTTTTTTAAGCTGCTTTATTAAAGACGTTTCTGAAATAATATAAATTCAAAAAGAAGACAATTACCCACAGACTCCCTCCCTGAATCAAATCAATATTTTCATCTGTCTGTGTCCCTTTCTGAGTGTTCTCCATGCGCACACTCAATTTTAACACATTTAGAATACTATCTTAAATAGGATTTAACATCCTACATTTTTTGTTCACATTGTGCCATGCATATTTTTGAAAGATTTTTTTTATCCCAATATAAGGATATTTCTGATGTAACTTTGCTTTTTCTAAACAAGTTTTTTTAAAAATCAAATTTGCGTCATTTTAAGGATGACAAAAATGGTTTCATATATTGCTGGGTGTCTCTTTCACTTTTATCTAATATTCCAACCACTTTAAGGATTTTTAAACATTCCGTTAAGGATCTTTTATCTTCAAAATTCGAAGTCTCTAGCAAGAAAAACATATCAAATTTGCAGCATGTTATAGTAGATTTGTCATTTTTTTTTTTAAAGGTAGCTGATTCAAAAAGAATTCTGGGTCACAAAATACAAAATGACAATCCACTCGGGCGACACCGGCCTCCTTTGCTGTTACTCAAACACGCTGAGGATGCTTGCGCCTCGGGCATTCACACTCACTCTTCCTGCTGTCTGGAACACTCTGCCCCCGGATAGCCACACGCCTCGCTCCCTTGCTTGTCCTGGTCTCTGCTCAAGTGTCATCCTTTTCAGAGAGGCCTTCCTTGATGATCCTATCAAAAATAGCATCGCTCTGCCCCCATCCATCCATCTCCGCCCCCTTTACTTCGCGTCACTATTATAGTTTATTTTTCTGTGTCTCCCATGAGAATGCAAATTCCAAGGGAACAGGGACTTTGTTTCACTGATGTACCCCTCGTGGTAATGCAGCTGGGTCTGACATTTGTTTCAACAAATACGTATTTGTTGCAATAACCAATAAGCATTAGTACCCTCTGCATCCTGGCAGTAATGTTCTGACTTTTGGGATACTGCCCATTCCAGCCTCCTTGGAAGCACCACTCAGGGGGCCGGGCCATGCCATGCTAGAAGATGAGCATGAGCCAGAGGGCCACCTTCACAGGCCTTCCTCAGAAAGGGGTGTCACCTTCCTGCTCACCTTAGCCACGCTGGCAATGTTTTGCCTCATATACATGCAGTGCTCTCTAAATTTAAATAGTCACTCCCATGGATAAAATCTTACCTAATCCTTGCAATATCCCTATAGAATAAGTGGAGTGACACTTCCATAGTAGGAAAACCACCCAAAGGGCCATTAGGAAACCTGGACTCAGGTCCTGGGACTGCACTTACCAACTGTGTAATAGGAGCCATTTCATCTTTCTGGGGGTCAGTGTCTTTTGGGTAGAAAGGTGGACAGTAATACTTACTTTTAGTGTTCTTGTGAAGGTTGGATGTGATCATGAGAGTAAAAATACTTTATAAACTAAAAATAGGAATGTGAAGTTAAAGCCCAGGCAGGACAGCAAAGGCTTCCAGTTTTGGGGTTCTGGAGTCTTGTAGAATAAATCTCAGCTCCACTACTTAGCACTGTGTGACATTGCATGAGTTACTTAACTTCTCTGAGTGTTACCATTCATATCTGTGAATTGACGCTAGTCCTAGTTCCTATCCAATAGAGGTGTCAGGAAGATAAAGTGAGGTAGTACAGCTAGGATGCTGAGGATGGTGCCCAGCACATACTGACTGCTCATTACTGTTAGCTGCTGCCTTGGGTTCTTGCTTGCATCATTATCATTGTTACGGCCATTTGGGTGGCGACCCAACATGCTGTACTAACAAGAGCTTGGGCTCTGAGTTCAATGGGCCAGTGACCTGGTGCTGTGTCTAGAGAAAACTACTGTGCAACCCTGATCCTTAATCCTTTCACCTGCAAGGTGGAACAGATAATCCCATCCATTGCAAGAGTCTTATGAGGATGGGACGAAACAATGTTTTTGAAGACCCCATGCATAGCAGATGCTCAGATGGAAAGTCAGTTCTGACCCCAGCCATGAGAAAGCTAAGGGACAGAGACACAATGTGACTTCACTGAGCAGGTGAGAGATAAGCAAGGCTAGGTTAGAACTCAGGCCCCTGGTGGAGCCTGGAGCCAGGCTGGCAGTGGGGGATTCTGCCCCAGGGGTGTCAGGTGGAGTGGCCGTCGGGTGATCCACACACAAAAGACCTCATGGTGCAGCGGTTAAGGGCAAACCTGCTTAGAGCCAGACACTTGGGTTCAAGTCCTGGCCCTGAAATGTACCAGCTGTGTGGGCTCAGTCCTCTCGTCTGTGAAGTCAGGATGACGACAGGACCCTTCTAAGTTGTCATGCGGCTTAAAATTGTTAGTTCTGTGCCTCACATAGAGTAGAAATTATTATAAGTCTTTGAAAATAAATTTAATTTATGCAAAATTAAAATATATGTGCTCAGCCAAAAAAAAGGTGAGAAAAAATAATTTAAATTGGGGCATTTCACTCAAGGAGCATATGCCAGAGTGCAGGTGAGGCGGAGAGGGTGTCTGCTCTTCCTTCAGCCGGCCCCACGTAGTATCCAAGGGTCTCTTCCTTGCAGTGAGTGCATCTTCCCAACCCCTTTCCCTCACCCTCCCAAACAATACAGCCCCTAGAGACAGGGTAACTCTTTCATCTGATCCTCAACCCATGAGAAAGCCTCCTATTCCATCCCTGGCTTTGCTGGGTTGGGAGATTCTGCACTGGTCTCTAGCATGGGGTCTTCACGTCCATGCAAGACATGAATCCAGTGAGCTCTCGAGTTCTAGCCTCTCATGGTTCCTAATCTCTCCTCCCTGGCAAGTGACGGCTCCTGCAGAGAACTCAGAGCTCTGCACAATTTCCATGTAACCACCCAGCCCCTACTCTTTAATTTCAGGAAGCATATTGAAATGCCGGGGAGCGATGTGGCTCAACAGTAAAAGAATAACTCAAATCCACTCTACTTTATTTATAAAACAGTTAACTACAAAGATACTATACGTTAATGAGTATCAGTCACACATGATTAATTTCTCTCAGTCTCACCATATCCAACTGAAATTGACAACTGCTGCTTCAGGTTAGCTCAGCCTCTTTCTTGGAGAAAAATCTCCTTCTCAGACTATTTACCAGACTGAGACTGTCTGTCGCCTGGTGGTGTCAATGAGTCAATTTGGGGACCAACAATGGAAAAGGGAGAAGGCAAGAGAGTTGGGGAGCCTAGAGGTTTCGATCCTAGCCCTGTCTCTGCCACCCCTTGGATACCTTTAGACCTTAACTCCCCAAGGGAAGACTAGACATTTTGTCTAAGAGGGGTACTCCTTTCCTGGCCTTGCCAAGTCCCACCAATGTGATGTAAATTATCATTCACTTAGTATTTTCCCTTCCATTGATTCTCTTCTTCTACTCAAAAAATTTATTTTAAAAGCAAACTTTAGTCACCCTTGGAGCACAATAGTGAATGAATTTATTATCTTGAAAGCTGTCACGTACGGGGAAAGAATCAAGCATTTATCCTGCTTTTCCTACGGGAGCCATAGCATAAGGGAACCAAGCAATAGATGAGGGAAAGCCCCTATTTATACAAGCATTCCAACTAGTATGGAAAAGAAATGCTAGAATTAGGAGCTCACCATCGTACAATCCCTAATGAATTAATGCATCTAGGCAGCAATCATAAGTTGCTGCCAACATCACTGAGAGAGGCAACTGGACAGTCTGTGCCTTCAGATGAAAGAACACACCACCATCTACGGCCTTGCCAAAGGGACCGAAGCAGAGTCACACCAAGCCTCTAGACCCAGCTGCTAATTTGCAGGAAATAAAGGGGACAGAGGAAACATGTTGAGGTGCTCCAAGGCTATACAGTTGGCAAAACCCAGACTATGAAAATGCTATAGGTCAAACACCCTAGGATATCTTCAGAAGATAAAAGAACAGATAAAAGAAAAGGATAAAAGAGAGAGGGAACTCACTAGATTAAAGAATTTATACATGCATCAAATTAGATGCAAAGTACGATAGCATCCCTTCTCACATATGGGCTGGGCTCTAAAATCAGCATGGAGGTTGAGAACTGGATAGAGTCAAAATTAATCTTGAAAAATCCATTAAAGCATCTTTAAGTCACTAGGTCATTGGCCACGAGAAACCCCAAAGGCAAGAATTAACTTTGTACCTCCTTGCATTTGGGCTCTGGCCTCTCCTTCCTTGGGTATGGGGGCCTAGGTCTAATTTGAACAGGGAAAAGGTAAAGAGGTTACTTACAGGGGTGTCTCTTGCTCTTGCGGATAGAACTGAAATCAGAGTCAGCAGCAGACAGAGGACAAATGTTCCCTTCTCGTCTTGGCAGTCATGGCTCTGAGCTCACTAGCCCTTGCCTAGGACACTGTGCCCCCGCCCTGGGAGTCCTCTGAGGGCTGTGTTCTCAGGCAACCCACCCTCCAAGGAGACCCATGCAAAGGCCTCAGGCAACCTGCAGAAATGTACTCGCACATTTTCCCAAAGGGCTGGAGGGCTGAGTAAAACCATCTAGAGGCGCAATGTGTGGACCTTTCCACTGAGTTCCTGTCCCCGTGTCACCCTTTGCTGACAGAGAAAGGCCCTGCTCTGTTGGTTATAAAACCAATTGCCTGAGTTCCTTTATCTGAGTTGAGACAGCATTTGCCTCAGGGGAGAACACTTCTCAGTGGCAACCTCAGAACTCCCAGCCAATTTCCCTGGGCCCCATATCTTTCTGTTTCTAGAACAGGGAGAGCCCAGGTATCTCCTTGGGGTGTGTGCTGCTGAGATAGCTTTGGAGGCGGAAGACCCGGGGCCCCCAGACAAGTGGGTTACCATGGTCTGGAAGCAGGAGTGGAGCTGGGTGAGGAAGGGCGGCTTCCCGGGCAGAGCCAGCACCCGCTTCTCCACCATGGTGCACTCCACGTCGTCATCTTGGATCACGACGTCCTTCTTCAGGATCTTCACGGCGTAGAGCTCGTCTGTGCCTTTTCGCTCCGAGAGCATGACCTGAGAAAGAGAGGGCAGCTGGTGTTCATTCAGATCCACTCCCAGCTTTGCACAGCTGTTCTCTGTTGACTCTGAAACAACAGATGACATTTTCCACTGACCTCACACTTTGAATGGCTGAACCCAATCAAGGAGGACAGTTCCAGGAGAGGTGGCCGTGTACTGATTCCTCTAGGATATGTATCAATGCCCAGCCAATATGGCTAGAAGGCAAGCCCCATGAGGGCAAGTAGCTTTTGTTCACTGGCCTAACCCAAGAGCCCGCAATAGTGTCTGGCACATAGTACACGCTCAATAAATATTTGTTGAATGAGGGAGTGAGTGAATGCTGGATAAAACCGGATTTGGGGGCACTTATTCCTTTATTCATTCAATTATTTAACATTCATTAAAAGCCTGCTAAACACCGGGGATACGGCAATAAACAAGCAGGCATGTTCTCTGACCTTGAACTCCAGAGAGGAAAAAAGACTTTGGAAATTAATTTCAGGGATGATTAATGTAATATTTTAATAGCCTCCCCTGCTGTTTTGGGGCTTTCTTTCATGAGCTGTGGTCACAATCGGGGCCAGTTAACCGGCGTGGCTCATGGACACCTCATTGTTTTCATTGGTTGTGACTACGCCAGAGGGGACAATGACCAGCAGGTACTATTTTCTCAAGAAGCTTCTTAGGAAGTGCAGGGCAGAACCACATTATAAAGAGACCTAACTGGTCTGGGAAAGCTTCCTGGAGGAGGAAACAATCAGATTGAAGTGTTTACTGCATGTACTGTCAGATGGTTTGCAGGCAACATTATTAATCACCACTATATTTCTGAGCATTTATGAATGGACCAAACAAGTATTGGTTTTCAATTATTATTTCTCATTTTTTTTTCATAATGGTAACTAGGAAATAGGTTCCCTTATGAATCTCATTTTACAGGACACCAAGGCTCAGGGGGGAAGTAACCTGTCATGTTACAAATTCAGTTAGGGCCGGGGTCATGATTTGAACTCAGTTCTACTTGACTACAACCCCTGCCTTGAAATGCTCCAGTTGAGCTCCAGAAGAACCCTGGAGGAGTTTAGGAGGTGGAGGGAATAAAATGCTCCAGCCTGGCTCAGCTGGAGGGCCAGGGGACGTAGCAGAGACCTGAGGCCGGAGGGCGTGACACACAGGACAAGTTCAGCAGCGGGAGGACAGCTCGGCACACTCTGCTCAGCTCTCATCCTAACAGTGAAAGGTCTGCCTGGGCTTATGCACAGAAGCTTCCAGATCACACATCCATGCGCTGAAACTTCTGGGCTGAGCTCACCGGCTCACAGAGTTCTTGTTCCTACGATCTTCTCTCTCATCGCCCCAGGCGAAGCAGACTCAGGGATTTAGGGCACCTTAGGAAAAGGGTCCCCAACACCCACTTCCACCGCAAGAGGACTTTCCTCAACGTCTTCCTCTCCCGGCACCAAAGGAAAAAATAAGAACTGCCAATCTGAGTGGGTCCCACCTGCCGGGAATTTCCTCAATCCTCAAAACAGACCCACCGACTTACCTGGGAAGGTAGGGCTCAAAGTGTCGGGATGGGTGTCCCCAGTTTATTTCCCATCTCCCTCTGTGCTCTCCCTGGTACCCTGGGGCTGTATTTCCCTTCCGCAGCCCTCATTGAGGCAGAAACAATGACTCAAGGAAGCCGCTGTCCTAAGATATAAAGAGGCAGATGGAGATGGGGGTTTTTTGCTCTCGGATTCTAGAGAGACCTGGGCTGGGTGACAGCAGGGAGGACACAGGGGGGACCTGGCCGGGAGAGAATGAGCAGAGGGACAGAGGTGGGAGGAAGAAGAGCCTTCAGCTAAGGAGGACCCCAGAGGCCAGCAGGAGGGGCTCAGTGCTGAGCTGTCTTCAAGGGTGGACCCATCGCGTCTGGTCAAGGCACCATCCAACAATCCTGAATACCTGCAACTCCTCCCCTCCCCGACCAAGAGCAGAGGGGAGGAGCCCCAGACACCTGGAACGCGGACGCAGTTATGATAGGACATCTTAGCCCTCTGCATGGAAGAGAGGCAGGGCAGAATGGCTGGAAACTTCCCCCTGTGCCAGGGACAAGGGTGGATATCCTAGTCTGTTTCAATTAGCTGCATTTTACAGGTGAACAAACTGAGGCTCAGAGAGATTAACCTGCACAAGTTACCAATTGTTCTAAAAATGCAGATCTGATCATGCCACTTCGATGCTTCGATGCTAAAAGTCCTTCGGTGGCTCCCAAAAGCCAAACAATTCTGTGACCACGTCCTGTTCTTTCTTTCCCTTTGAACACTCTGTTCCTACTGCCTGCAACGTCCTTCCACACTCTTTCAATGCCTGGAAAATCTGAGATTCCGCTCAGATGTTACCTCCTTCTCTAACCTAGATGATCCATTTAGACCCGAATCAGCCACTCCCTCCTCTGGGCACCGAGTCTGCTTGGTATCTATGTCAGTTATGTATGCAGGCTTTTCCAAACTTCAATCATTCATGTGCCTTTTTCACATTTTTTCCCTGCCACCTAAACTGTTATTTGCTTAGCATTTTAAAAATGTAGTCATATTTTTACTTAACGAAATTTGAAAAGGAAACTTTATATCACTGCTATTAATGGCAAGCCAGTATCACCAGTAAAAATGGAAGAGAAGCATAAAAATAAATAAAAGCAAAGCAGCGCTAGTAAATTCTAGCTAACTACTGACGGCTTCTGAAGGTTGTAAGCCAGGCCCTGCATTTCCTCCTTGTTAAAGGAAAAAACTGGTATTAGAAAATGTTAGAGAGCATATTGCCATCAACTGAGATTTTCTTTTTCAAGTAATTAGAAAGACTAAAAGAAAACATAAAGAGAGGACAACCTTATCATGTGATTTAATTTTGTATAATATCATGACAATATACTACCTAAAAAAATCTCAAGTGCTAACTGAAATCATCTTGCAAATCATCAATGCCATGTGCTCCACACCTTAGGAAAACTGTTGCATTTGTACAAGTTTATTAAATCAGTGAATAGGGATGTGTGAAGATTCTCTTGCCCTGTCCTAAGTAACACGCCCTATACTGACTGGAGGAAAACAGAACTGACATGCATAAAACACTACTAATAATTTAGAAGAAATAGAACTAAATTGAATTCTAGGAGCCAGCTAACTTTTTTTGTAAAGGGCCAAACAGTAAATATTACAGGCTTCGTGGGACTGTATCAACTACTAAACAGTGCTACTGTATTGAAAAAGCAGCCATGAACAATACGCAAGTGCATGAGTGTGGCTGGGTTCCAATAAAACCGTTTATTTACAAAACTAAGCGGTGGTTCACAGGACAGGTGCCTATGGGGGTGGGGGGAAGCAGTGGGCTAGGCTCCAGTAGTTTCCTGACCCCTGTTTGAGAACATGTGTGTTCAAGAATGATCAGGAAAAGTAAGAGTGACCACACAATCAAAAGTGACTGTAGTTTAATTTGGAAATGAACTCTAGCATGCCTTTCCTTTCTTCCAACTCTTTGTTATTAGAAGGACCTTCTGATTGGGCAGTGGACACACCTGGCCACGGCTGATTGGATCAGAGGTAGATACCTGACCTAAGCTGAGCCAATCAGAGTCTCTTTCCAAAGAATTTGGAATTAGGATACTCCAAGGAGTCAGTCAGGGCCTCTGAATAGAGAACACCCACAGATCTTCCTAGAGTGGTTCTTTTGTACTACATGCAGGCAGAGAAGAATGAAACAGATGTGTGGGGAAAAAAGAAGGTCAGAGAACTAGCAGAGGCCTTGCTTTTTCATTCCTGCTTCCAATCTCTCAGGAGACTTGTTAGAAACCACCGTATCCCTCTAATAAAGTTATGTTTATTTATATTAGTTTGCACGGATTGAAGTATCTTAGAGATCCTGTAAGACAAGACTATTGCTTGGGTAGCTCAGATTCTTAATAAAAATGACAATTTCAGGAAGACAAATAGTATCAGGTCAGTATGTGTCCTAAAAGAAGGCAAATTCCATTTTTTTTATAGAGGACCGTGCCTCTTGCCTATATCAGAATCACTTGGGGGTCCTTGTTTATAATACAGACTCCAAGCACCGGTCTCCTTCAAGAGCTCTGGGCTGTGGCCTGGGACTCTGCATTTTACTAAGCACACTCCTCCTACCTTGATTCTAATCACCAGGTATTATCAAAATTGATTCATTTAATAAGGTGGTTAGGCGATGCCCATAGGTAAAACATAGAATCCTTTAATTCTGATTTTCCTAACACCTTCCCAGCAGTCATCAGCAAGGTAAGAATGGAACTTTCCTTTTCTCGCTGAACATTCTAATCAAGCTTTTCTTTTCGATAGGAATCTCTCCGCCCTCTATTGGAGTTACACTTCGAGAGCTTTCCCCATAGCGTGAAGGAACTGACACTCGGTGGTGGTTTCAAAACATGTCTACAAATATTTGACACCCCTCCAATCAAGAGGCAGACTCTATGCCCTCTCCTGTGAACCCGGGCAGGCCTTTGTGTTTGCCTTAACGAACAGAATGTGGTTGGAGTGCCCCTGAGTGACTTCTGAGGCTGCAGCTTAATGTCAGTTTCTCTTAGAACATGCGCCTTTGGATCTCGGAGGCTGCCGTGCTAGACCACAGAATGAGACCACATGGAAAGGCCATAGGACCACATGAAGAGTGTGGTGCCCAGCCAGAGGAGGAGAAACCAAGCCACAATCAACCAGCTGGCATTCCCAATCTCCTGACCCACCGAAACCATGAGAGATAATACATGATTATGTTGTTTTAAGCTTCCAAGTTTAGGGATGATATGTTATGCAGCAATAGATAACTAGGACAGATTTGCCTAAGTTCCTACGTGTTCTAATGCAACCCCGCTTTGTCAGGTGTGGCCCCTGTGACCTCGGGTTATGCAACTCCTTTGAATCAGTAAAAAAAAAGAAAAACAAAGGTTTCAGTTGAGAGGGGCAACAGAGACGGAATTCATTGTGTCTTCCAAATGCGTCAACCTTCCT